GGTGTCCCTCTTCCCTTAGGGCACTGGGGTGTCCCTCTTCCCTTAGGACACTGGGGTGACCCTCTCTCCTTAGGGCACTGGGGTGTCCCTCTTCCCTTAGGACACTGGGGTGTCCCTCTTCCCTTAGGGCACTGGGGTGTCCCTCTTCTCTTAGGGCACTGGGCTATTCTCACCCTCAGGACTATTTGGCTGCACTCTCTCTCAGGGATTTCTAGGCAACCACCACCTCAGGTGTTTCTGGGTTTGGGCTGAGTGCAAGCTTGTTCCCAGGGCCTCAGTCAGCCCCTCTGCTGTCCTGAGAGGCAGCCGTGAGGACGAGATCGGCTGAGATGTGTCTAGAGCCATGCTTTCACATGTGTGAACTCAGAATTGCCTTGTGAGTCCAGAAAGGCACCTCAGTGCACACAGAGGGTTTGTGGAGCACACCAGCAGAGTGTGTGTGCGTGTGTAGGGGGGTATCTAATCCAACACACTCATACTGTCTACCAGAAGAGCTGGGTGTGGTGTGCACACCTTTATTCTCAAGCACTCGTGAAGCAGAGGCAGGTGGATCCCTGGAAGTCTACATGATGAGTCCTAGGCCAGCCCCTGTTACATAGTGAGGTCTTGTCTCAGAAAAAAATAAAAATAAATTACCATAGATGAGACTGACCACACAGACTGTATTCATTTCAGATCAGCTTCTGTGCGGAAAGAGCTAAACAAACCCCGTTGTTTTCAAAGATGTTTCAATTAAGAGTTGAGGACATGGGACATTAGATCTGTAGAGACCTCAATTGCCATGGTCTCAGTGGGACAAGGGAGTCTGTGGCTCTGCATTGACAGATTGTGGGTAGACATTTTTAGGTCTGTGAAAAACAGTAATAGGATTCTTTAAAAGCTACAAGCCAGGAGCTGGAGAGACGGCTTAGTGCTTTGGAGTACTTGGTCTTGTAGTAGAGGACCCAGGTTCAATTCCCAGCACCCAAATTGTGGTTTACAAGCATCTTTAGGTCCAATTCCATGTGATCTGATGCCCTCTTCTGTCCTCTGGTGGCAGTGCATGTATGTGGCTCACAGAAGTAAATGCATGAAAACCACACCCATACACAGAAAATAATAAAATAAACTTGTTTCTTTGTGTTTTGAGACAGCGTTTCTCTGGGTAGCCCTGGTTATCCTAGAACTCACTCTGTAGATCAGGCTGGCCTTGAACTCACAGAGATATACCTACCTCTGCCTCTCCAAGTGATGAGATTAAAACCATGCAATTCCTCACCCATTTTTCCAGAGATTTTAATCCTATATGGCCTGCCTGGCTCTACCTATCATCTATCTATCTATCTATCTATCTATCTATCTATCTATCTATCTATCTATCTAT